ATATATATATATATATATATATATATATATATATATATATATATATATATATATATATATATACATATATCCTTAATATTAATATATGTATTTACATCTACATATATGTAACCAATCCACAGTGGATGCAAATCCTCGTATCCTCTGGAAGTTTGCATCAGTAAAACAAAAAAAAAAACAATCTTCTGGCTTTAAAAATAGAAAACAATTATCATAAACCGGGAATCGCATGAATTATCTTAGCCAGACAACCGTGACAAGGGATACAGATTGATAACATAACCACCGGAAGTATAGAATAAAATGTTCTCTAGATGATGATGTTTTGGTGATTATGCCTTTGTATAATAGGCTAGGCAGACACTTACACGAATAAAAATTTATCATGTTAGTCCTGAGAAAATTAAATCCTTGCATAATACAAAAAAAGTTGAGGAACAATGCAAGTGTAATGACATAGACACAGTACAGGGAGCATGGAGTTATCATTCATATTTTACCTTAAAGAGGGGATCTATATCTCCGTCAAGGTCAAACCAAGAAAATTCAGTATTGAACTTTGAAGCTGTGTATAATGCAATTTCTTTCTGCAAGACAAAATTGAAGAGAAAGATGACAGTCAACTTCTTACACTCGAACATGGTGCCTGGATGATCTAATGATACAACATCATGATGATGAATACAATTACGCTTATCTGGTCAATGAAGAAAAAGGGTACGAGTATCATGAATAAGAGTTTAACTTAGCTGTGTCAACAACCTATTTGAAATTTAAATTGTACAGTTCAAGTATCTGTACCAATAGTACTTGGGAATGACAAAGCACCCTTGAACTTCAGTAATTTTCATTTATAGTATGATGCAAAATACAACCGCAATAAAGCCAGAAATGACACAAGCAAAGAAAAACGATCAAGAAAATCAGGATAAAATGCCGGTTAAATTGTCTTTGCTGGTTTAGAATAATAATAAAATCACAAGATCAACAATTTTGCATCCATGGCCGAAACTTGGCGTGAAGGCGATATGGTTTCAGTACAGTGAACCCAACATCAATTACCACTAGCTAAGAGGATCTAAATCAACCAAGAGTAGAGAAATCTAAGTTTAGCAAAACTGGTAAAGAATTCAACTTTCAGGCTTATATATCTTTCTCTCTCTCTTGGCATATTTGTCTCGCTGCTACCTATTCATCAAATTTCTTCTGAACACATCCAAATTCCTACATTAAACCCAACTAATCACAGCCAACTCAATTGAGAAAAAAAATTAGAATCTAGCTCAGAAAAGTCTTTTCCAAATTTTGGAACTTTCGAGCTTTAACTAATAATTAATTCTCAAGTCTAACCACTGTATCCAAAATGTACTTGATGAACACCAATACAATATTCTAGATATAAAGGGGAACTCTCTGAGTCATTACTGTATGAGGAACCAAGGTAGATCTGCAAAAGGTAGAATCAGCTATTTTATCGCAAAAATATGGACTGACTCTCAAGTTCCATTACAAAGCATGACTAACCCAGATAAACTAGCAATAAGGCTTATTCGTACAGCCAATGATAGCTTGTACAACGATATTTTAACTTCGCGAGGAAGCAGAAAAAGTAGATTGTATGTTTAATAAAAAATATACAAAATGACTGCGCCATCAAACACTCGTTGGAATCATGTCATCATATATTGAACAATAAAAAACCTGATAGAAGGCTAAGCATTGGAGTGCAAATTTTTCCATTGAATCCAATTCGAGATCCAACGCTGCGTCATAATCTTTAACCTGCATCGTGGCATCGATCAATTGAAGATACTCTACAAACCAAACTCTTGTATCTGTAAAACATATAGAGAGTGGGGGCAAAAAGGCGAAAAAAAATAAGAAAAAATCTGATACCGCCTCTTTAAATTCTCCAATGGCGTGATAACAAGAAGCTCTTAAATATAGACTTTCAATGCTCGAACTATCAATACTTAATCCAATTGATAATTCCTTGATGGCGTTCCTGATACAGAAGAAGCTACCAGTTAGAAACTCAAGTAGATGAATTAATTCTTAGAGATACAATCATGTGAAACGTAATGTTTTAAAAGACAAAGTTGTTTGATGAGACGCCTCACATATTTATAGGTAGGGGATATATTTCTTAATAAATAATTCTTAAACCATAAAACAACGTTCGTAAAAATAAGTTAATAAATTGCACGAATGATAGGAAAAAAATTGAATGAAAACTTCAAATGCAGCAAGCACGCACAGCATAAAAAAGAAGAGATAGTTGCAGTTCTCGAGACAATAAAACATAGTGGAAAATTTGTTACTAAATATTGATGAATAAAGGTTATGGATATTCTAGCTTCATATTTATGACTATCTTGAATATAGTAACTTCGAACATTTACCTGTGCTCTCCCGTCCCGTGTAGAAGCATCCCGTGCAGGTGATATGCTTTGGCAAACCTAAATGCATCAGTAGGACTACAATTAAAATCTCCAGATTACAGATAGCATAAACAATTAATTGAACCTTGTAATATTTTATGTTCCACTATAACCCCAATTTCCATGTTACAAGTAAACCCAAAAATTACATAAGCATTCACTTCTAAACCATCAGTAATCAAACATTTCTTACTTCCATATCCTTGAACAGAATATAGAAGGATATAAACAAAAAGATATCATATCCGTAATGTATACCTTCCATCAATTTTTAGAATCTCACGAATGCATTGTAGAGCCCTTTCTCCATTTGCGACGTCTTGATAGAACTGTCGAAAGATCGAAATATTATTCACAGTTCTTGTTAAACTAACTTCATAGATTAATGCACATCTTGCAATCATGAGCCAATACTGCATGTTATCACATCATAAATCCTCTACATCAAACCACTAAAGTTTATTGGATATCTAAGGCCTTGTCTGATTCTTGTGATAGGAAACTACTCGTGCCTTGTTCAATGTTAGTTCTCATGTTGTGGTTTGTATTAGATCTTTGGAATAGTCATAGAAATGTGGCTAATTACAGAATCAAATGTGCTATGCGTTTTATTTGCCAATCAATTTCCTAGGCGCATTCTAACTCACCAGAATTTTTGTCTAGCCATCACACCATTCTTCCAAATATACAAAATAAATGGGTGAGTTGACCATAAAAATTAGATTACCTCTCATTTGAAATGTTATAATTGAAAACTATGTTTGATTTTGTCAAAGAATAACATCACTGCTCTCGATTGAAATAGATAAATTAACTTCAAAGTTCAAGCATATATACCTAAACTCATGGGAGGACAACTTCTAGATGATTTAAATAATTTGGGAGTTTGAATATGTACATAAAGTGAACAGACTGTAATTGGTATTGACATCAATAAAGTCCTCTCACCAAATAAGGGTACAACTTCATCACAAAATAAAAGGAAGATAAATCCCTTCGCTGCCAGACAATTATGGACATAGTTCTAAGAACAAATGGGTTGTGACGACTTCAGAAGGAAATTATTTGTGCAATTTTTATGTTTCCTCACTACGTTGTGGAAAATCGCCAAGTAATTTCATTGGTCATTTTCAGAAAAGCTGTTAGAATGTACATATTCGTCCACATTAAACTCAAACTTCAGGGCAAAGTCCCAAAAATAAATCCCACTTCAATTTTTGAGCCTCTAAGGAAGCAGATCGAATTTCTGGGAATGCACGCAAGTAACTTAAAAGAGACAAAACAAACAGATATAAAGAGATAGAGGATAAGACCAGCAAAATCCAGAAGAAGGAGAACCTTTACCAACCTACTACTCCATACACCTCCATCCCAAGCATATTTTTCCATCTTTTATTTTTAGGTGGTTTGAAATAAGTTCATATTTGTTATTCCTATAGTTTCTAGAATTTGATGCCATATCGCTTTAGGATCCAACCGTTGGATATACAAATGCAAGAAATATTATTTTAAAAAAGAAAGGATAAGTTAGTTTCCACTATTCAATTAACACTAGCATGCAAGAGAACACCGTGCTACTTCTTTGAGCCACAAAAAAACATTGTTATATACAAGGCAAAGCATTCTTTAGAGCAATGAATGTGAAGCAGGTGATACATCAAACTCTATGGCAGGATACCTGAGTTAGATGAGTCCAAGCCTCAAGGAAACTTTTATCTATTTGGATAGCTTTCATATGTGCCTCTTCTGCCTTTCTATATTCACCAAGAGAAGATAGAGCCAAACCCTGAGAGAGCCAAAATTCAGCAAGTAATTCTCTGTGGTCTTTTTATATAAGCATATTAACTTCATCCAGTTGTTCCTGAATAAAGCTTAGCAGTTTGGCTCACCAAGTAGGTATATGCAGATTTGTTATCCACATCAACTTTTACGCATGCTGACAAGTCTTCGACAGCAGCTTTGTAATCCTTAAACTTGTAATTTACAATTCCTGCATAAATTTTGGTAATGTGATCATATATGTAACCAGATCACTAAACAAAGCACCGGAAAGGCAGAAATTTTGGTAATGTGATCATATATGAATCTCACATTGTTTATATCCAGTTTGCCTTACGGATCATGTGGAAGGTTTTATTTTCCTAGTTCTTAAGTTGTCTAAACTTTCTAATTTCACCAATTCAGGCACAATCCGCTGAGTATTCAGGGTTGAGTTCATATCAAAAGAATACAGAGACTGTCGGTAGCAGAAAACAAATTGTCTTCTAAACTATCTAATATCTACTGCTTTAGTGAAGTTTATACACCAATATTTTCAAACCCACAGACAAATATACCTGCATTTGTGTATGCGTATAGTAAACAAAATAGTAGTTGTTTTTATCTTGACTAATCATCCTCCTAGAATGGAAAAAGAACGGCACAATGGATTGCAAGAAATCATTAACAAATATGTTATCATTGAAATATACTGATTTCATTTTCTATTTCGAACTCTAACATGATATCTCGGGCTCGTAAGGACAACATTTCACCTGGCATGCAAAATTCTGTCATATGTCTAGATCATGCAAATCCAATTAGCCCACACATGCATAGGTAGCAAGGAAGTAATTGGTGATTCTGGGTAAGTACCTAAAAATCTTGATGCTAAATGAAAATAATATTTTTTTATAATAATTCAACTACCTCTTTCATGCAATATGTCAGATGAGTTTGGTTCGAACTCCATTGCTTTTGTCAAGTCAGCAATTGCCTGGAAAGTGGAAACAAGAATCTAATTAGACATAAATTGTATATAAATCTATACATGCACCAATTTATGGGGAACCTGTAGACCTAGGAAACTACAGACGAAATGAGAATGCTACACCATATAATAGTAAATTACAGTAACAAATTTGCCAAGTGGTAGGTTCTTCCATCATTTGCTCCTGCTCTTCTGTCTGATCCAGTCACTCACTACCCTCATTTCCATCTCCTTCCCACTCCTCTTTCACTTACTACATCCACTGCACTGACTATGTAAATAGCCACTCATTACCTACTCAGTATATTGCCAACTATTTCCTTCCACCTCCGCTTAAACCACCAAGGATAACAACATAAAAAGTATCTAATCAAGTTAATTCTGAAAAGTGAAATTTGTTCTCCTAAAAAGCAAGTAAATCGAATCTATGTTCAACTCATATTTAAGTGCAGCAAACTATTGTGAGAATGACTTGGTAGATCAAAGACCATGTTTGCAACAGCCACATGTGATGCACATGAAAAGACCATTTTAGAAAGAGAACATGTGAATGTTGCATGTAAAAAGACTACTTATACTGAATTTCCCAAATTTATGCTGCATATAAGTCACTCTTCTGAATAAAGTAGGTATAAAATCTGTTGATTTTCCAGCTCGGATTACTTCAGAAAATGACAGGGGAAAACCCTGAGTACAACTCCTGAGTTTCCACAGGAGAGCCATGGTAAATTTGATCAATAAATGGCTGAAATTTTTAATTGAGGTTGTGGTTTGATTTTTGATTTACAATTAGGGGTTCTCTGGGAAATTAAATCTGATTAGTAGTTATTCATCCGTACATTGTGATCTCTTAAGATTGTTCTGAGGGGCTGTTCGAGGTAGACAGGTACCTGAGGGTTAGTTGATCTTGTAATATATTGAGGATATATACAACTCTTAAGGGAAAATAAAAACTTTTGCAGAATAGACGAACTTCAAAAAATTTAAGAACCCCTATTGCACTAAAAACTAGACTAAATCGCAATGCAGCAGAAAACCAACCAAAATAAACTCAAACAAAATAAATAATTAACATATGGCAGGAAACATAAATAAATAAACACCTTAGCAGATTCTCCCAAGGCTGCTCGAGCTTGCCCCCTGCGTTTCCAAGCCTCACCTGCTGATGGGTTTGATTGTATTGCCTATTCAAAATAACCATGTTTGACTTCCATCATCCAAGATTCCACATACTCTCCACACAAAGGATCATTGGAGCATTACCTTTGTAAAATCAGCAATAGCAGCATGTAGTTCTCGTTGAAATGCATATGCCGTTCCCCTTCCGATCAAGGCCTCGGGGTAATCGGGCTCTTCTTGTAGTATCTGACATATAAATAAAAATAAAAAGATGAAGTTCTGTGAAACAAAAGATTGTCAAAAGTATTTGCGAACCAAGTGGCATGAAGGAAAATTGGGGATTGAAGAAAAAGTGTAGAAAGTGAATAATATCAACCTTGTCAAAAATGGATATAGCATAAGCATATTTTCCATCATTAACCTGCAAAGGAAGATAGCATCATCTTGACATTGTGAAAACTCACCATATAAATTCATAAAAAAGTAATAATATGTCAGGCGAAGGATTTGAATGCGTAATGCTTGGAACATTACAACCTTAAACGAAGTCATCACCAGGATAATATTTTTTTTCTTAAAGGTAAACCCTAAGAAGTAATCTAAAATAGACAATCATTGTGCCAGTAGTCACTTGTTGATAAGATTCCTGCACTAGCATTGCTATATAAATCGGAGATGAGCTAACTGGAAATTAGACACATCAAACAGAAAACCATTTTGTAATGAGAAAAGGATGAGAACTTACATGACACGAAATACTAAAAGGAAAGGAAGCAAATCATTGGAAAACCCAAAAACTTGAAACTCAAGCTCACCATTTTAAGATATCGACGATGAACCAGAAAAGTTCACTGTCATCTGTGAACTTCTGGCAGCTCTAGAACAATTGATTATGATGTTAACCATGAAATAAAGAAAAACAGACGAAACTTAACCTGTGCAATTCCCCTTGATAATCTGAAATCCACATTAATTGACTTGCTCTTTGATATCCTAGCAACGCAAAATTTTTTGCTCCTGTTGGCCTCATCCATTAATTCATTGTGAATATCTGATAAGCTAAATGAATCACTGCATATATCAGGAAAATCACTAGATTCACCATAAACCATAGATGAACCAGTGCCTGATTCAGATGAATCATCCAATACAGACTTCCTCATCAACTTGGTGTGCGTCACATTAGTTTCAGTTGGATGACTTTCATCTTTTGGTTTGGGTTGACTGTCAAGAACACTTTCTCCTCGGACATCAGTACTCGATCCATTTTGTAACTTGTTGTGAGCCTCGATTTGCTTGCTTAACTTGCTGCTTGGTTGACTCTTTCCATTTGATTTCACATGGTTGTCAGATATTTCACTCGATCTGGAAACAACAGATCCACGTGCAGGAAAGGACAACTCAGAGGACTCCATCGTACCATTCTGACAGGAGCCATTTTCTTTAGCAATTTTCAAGAGATCTTCCAGCTCCAGGAGCTGTTTCAAATCCGCAGACTGACAAACAGCATGCTCGTATCCTTGCTCCAAAACTGAAAGAGCTTCCTCTTTCCTTCCCAGAGAAGAGAATGCACGACCTACAAGATATATATTCAGAACGACTCAACAGCATTCTATATTAAATAGACCTCAAGGAGAAGTCATTTGGGAATTATAACGAGGAAATTAATCAGGTCAGGATTGAGTGATGATTTAAGTGAAGAGTCACAAACTACATTCGTCATTCGCAGCAAACACGTACAAGAACTCCTATGTTTTCATCGGGTTCAAGAGCATGATTCTTCTCATCAATGGATATTTAAGACATAGGACGATATGATTCCTACAAAATCTTAGCGCATTAAAGTCCTAAGACATATGCTCCATATCCTCTGAATATAGGACTTGAAGCTTAACTGATAGATCAATATGGCACCCAGTTCTGAAATTATTTGTACTATACAATTTTCTAAGGGGAAGTCCCGAGTAAAGTAAATGTATGCCTTTTTACAATTCATCCAGTGATTCAATGTGAATTCCATCCAGGCAAAACTTAACTCCAGGTACGACATCATATCCTTGACAGACTACAATGGACATTTTTCGAGGGAATGTCCAAAAATATCCATGTGTCAAAACATAAGCCATATGTTAAATATCATAGTACGTGTTCAAAGAGATCTTCAACTGAGGTACACTAGAAATCGACCTTGTGGGCAGTATTGGTGGGACTCTAGTCTCTATATATAGATCATGCAAGTAAAAGAGAGGTAGTGACATTTATTAACTCAAAAATGATCTAGAAATAAGTAGAAAGTGATTGACAGGTGCGATGGTTTCAATTACAAGTGGAGAAGGGGATTGAGCCTCATATTTTCACTCATGAGAAGTGTCCAAGAACTTACCTAGTCATGTTTTCCAAATAACTTTGAACTTTGAAATTAACTTTGACAGACAATTAAATTTGATATCATTTCAAACGATGTTCAGACACTTATCTCCAAGAAATATGAAGAATTCATGCATGTGAATTTTCAAGTTTTCTCGATCATTTGTTCCACATTAAAAAAGTAGATCTAATTAACTCATATCCAATCAAAATGACCGACAATATAAAGACTAAAATAGAACACACACACACACAAAAAAAAAAAATACAACTAATCTCAATTTGTGCAAAAGTTTCAACATAATTCTATTTTGGAAAAAACAAAATGTGAAACAATTTTTCACTACCGATACAGAATTCTGAATTGCTTTCAACCTGTAAATAAGTAAAATCACTGATGTCAAGTATAGTTAATAATACATCAACGACGTATCCTCTGCCGGTAAACGGAACATTCGGAATTGTAAATATAATGACTAAATTTCGAGTTAATTGAGTTCCATTCTAGTTGCAGATGATCATACATCAAAATAAAGAACTCCGAGGACAAAAGAAAGAAAAAAAAAATCGGCCTTCTAGTGCATTCACGAAACTTATATTGCACAACCAGGTCTTACTAAGAAATGCCTACATTTATGATTTACCCCATTAGCAATGGTCGATCAAGATAACACAAATAAATAAACATACAAAACAAAACAAAGTCTAAGGTCAGTAAACTTGCAAAGAGCGAGTCCAGTAAAACATCATATTTATCCTCTTTGACTATGAGTTGCATTAGTGGAGAAAAAAACGGTGCAAAAAATATGATAAATAACGATACAGTTATGCAAAAAAACTCCTAATCCGACAGTCGACTCCGCTAATTTTCTTTTTCGACATGATTTGAAGATTAGTTGACTTCAGTTTCTAATAATCGTCCCGCTAAAACCAATGTGATTCTAATGACTAGATTCAGTTTCGCATCAAGGGAAGAGAACTCGTAAACAGAAGTAGAGAAAACAAAAATGAGAGGCCACCTTTAAGAATATAGGCCTGGAGAAGCTTAGGATCAAGCTGCAACGCCTTATTGCAGTCCTTAATAACATGCTTGTGCAACTCCAATTGGCTATAACAAAAGGCTCGATTGCTGATAAAAAATTAATCAGTCAGATCAAAACAACGAATTAAATCCAAAACATGGTAACCTCAAATCCGAATTTGAATTTACCACAGGTCCTGAACGCCGCATGACTGGGAGAGGAGTGAATCGAGAACTCGAATAGCCTTTGACCAATCCTTGGAGCTGCAGAGCTTGGCGAGCTCAATTCGCTCCGCCACCGCCGGCGCCGGCGCCATTTGGAGAGAAATCAATAGAGGAGAAAGGGGAGAAGAAAATTAGAGGGAAATGGTGCAGGAGAAGATAACAGGATTGGAGGCGCGTTTGCTAATTGGTTATTTAAGAGTTCCTTTGCTTGTGATTTGGGCGACCAGACTCGGAAGAGAGAGAGAGAGAGAGAGAGAGAGAGAGGAGAGGAGAGAGAGAGAGATTTTCTTTTAGGAATTCACACAAACGGGCAATTTCATGGAATGGGAAAGCACGTGCAAAGGAAAGGGGGTCTTCACGGGGGCATTTGTGTAACTTGCGTTCGTACTACTGAACTAGTTCCACCACTTGTTTACCCTCTCAGTCCCACTCCCACGCGACAAAGCACCGCGTACCAACAGTGATGAACATATATGCTAATTATTAAATAATACATTTTTCTTTTTTTCGTAAAACAAATCAATATCACCGCTATCTTCCACGTGGCGTCGAACCCAAATCTATCACGGCAGCCCCAATACAGGTGTGGCCCAATAAAGGGGTGTAAACTAGCCGAGCTCGAGTCGAGTTTGGCTGATTTGGCGACCTCGAACTCGTATGTATTTTGATGAGTAATTCTAAAAATATTAACGAAATTTAAAATAAAATGACCCGTGATTTATTTTTTTAATTACTTTTGTGAATTTATTATTTATTTTGTATTTAATTATATTTAAAATTAAAATAAATTAAAATTTGAAAAAAAAACTCGCAGTCCGCGAGCTCACGAACAATTAAGAATAAGTTTGGGCTCGACTCGTTAGAAAACTCAAATTCGAGTTCGAAAAATTCAAATATGAGTTAGAGCAGTTATCGGGCAGGGCTCAGTTCATTTACACCCTAGCCCAATAGCATATTTATCTTATTCCATCTCTAATCAACATTGTGGGAGGCAGCATATCATAGGGCCTATTAATTCCTTAACAAAAGAAATAAATAAGAAAGATAAATAACAATAACAATAACAACATATCATTCATAAAACCATCCAAATTAGACACTTGAATAAAATAAACCCCAAAGTTTGTGATCATCGATCAAGCAGCAATATTAAATCGAATATGCCTAAGAAGCACGGGGACCACCACATCGGGCGAGCTCAGCTGCGGCAGATGACCGTCGGTCGACATGACCTCAACGATGGAATCCCCGCCAAGGTTCTGGTGGAGATACTCGGAAACCACCACCGGCACCGCCAGGTCCTTCACGCTCTGGATGACGTGGCATGGCACAGTGACGTGGCCCAAGAGAGGTCTAACGTCACTGTAGAATATGGTTTGGGCCACGCTCAGCGCTATGTCCGGTCTCATGTTGAACAGCGTCCGGCTGAACTCTTGCACCGCCAACGACTCCATGTCGCCCCCGACCGCTAGTGGGGCCCACCCGGCACACCAGGACTTGTAGTTCGATCCCATTGCGTCGAATAGTTGCACAATGTCCTCTTCTTCGAATCCTCCGTAGTAATCCGGATCGTTCAAATACCTAAATCAATATCCAAATAATTAGTTATGGCCTTATTGCATTAAGCAATATTCATGTATATAATTAATTATACAAATAATAATTAATACGAAAATAATTAATAATTGTTGAATGACTATCTCAACCAAAAGTTTAAGCTGCTAGTGAAATGTATCATTTAATATTAATATATCCAAGAATAATATAATTAATAACGACCTTGGAGAAGCAGAAACGGTGATGATTTTGGAGAAAAGCTCGGGACGAGTGACGGAGGCAATAACGCCGATCATGGCGGAGACGGAGTGGCCGACGTACACGCACGACTGGATTCGAAGCTCCTCCAAGATGGCGATGACGTCATAGGCGTAGCCTTCTAGGGTTGAATATCTATCAAAGTCAAAGTAATCCGGGTTGGTTGTGCCCGCGCCCATATTGTCATACAACACGACCCGGTACTCTTCTACGAGGTGCGGCACGAGGTGTTTCCACACGGATTGGTCCGTACCAAACCCGTGGGCCAGGACTATGGTCAGTTGGCCCGACCCGACGACCCGAACGTTGTGAGCTTCTTCGGCGATTCCCATGATCGATGTAAGTTTCTTCTTTTTTTTCTGGGTGGTCTTTTGAAGGCCAATTGGATTGGATTAATATATGACGATAATTAAAGCACATAATTCAAAATTAATACTAAAATTATTAATTTTGTCTTGGGTGGGCGGATTCTTGATAATAATTAATGTGGGATTAAATTAATTAATTGAATAATTAGGGTGACAGATACTTGTTAACTAACCGCCAGCTTGTCACTTGTTCTACTTCTACCCCATCGGTTGACCTAGCTTCAACCTTTGTCTTTGTCAAGTCTTTTTCTCTCATTTTCATTAATTTTATCAAATATTAATTATCTTTTGTAATAATTTATAAATTTGATGAAAAATTCGAACCCCCACCCATTGTTTTATCTTGTTTATTTGATTTTCCATCAGGTAGAGAAGATTTGGGTGCTGATATGACAGCTGTAAAAATATTAAAAATGTAAATGATTCCAGGAATCGAGAGCTGTAAATCTAACGCTGATCACATGCGTCAACATGCAGGATAAATATATAATATGGGTCGGGTCAATTTATAATGGGCCATAAATACGCCCGTGGATGAAACTGGGCCTTTATTAATGGACAGCTTTTGAGGCAGCAAATCAGTTTTTAAGCCCATTATGGGACACGTGTGGTGAGCACGTGACAAATTTGTGAGTACGTTTCTGGAACCGATCGAGTTTATTGCTTCTATTGACTATTAGCGTATCTATATTATATATATTACTTATACCTATTATTATTCTTATTTATTAGGTTACCTTGTATATTAGGTTTCCTTGTATATTAGGTTACCTTGTGTAGTAGGTTAGGGTTTCCTACATGTAACTATATATATGATTAATATACGTAAGAGATATCATTCTCTCTTTTCTCCAAATATATTTCTCCTAGCTTCCATAGTTTTATGCCTTTGTGTTATATGGGACACTAATATCATTTCAAATCAGAACAGTTATATTTTCGTATTTTGCTAAAAGTTTATCGAGAAGCTTGTTGTTGATTAGAGAATTTAGATAGAAAATAGTGACACTAACGTAATTTTCTTTATGCTGCACAGATATGATATTTTAAAATTTTATTAGATTTATATAGTGGGATAATTAGCTCGAAGTTCCTAAAAAGCATTTGGTACCGTTTAGAACGCATATAACATTTTTCAGTTTTGCTAAAAGTTCTTTAATTGGATGTCGATACCATTTGAAGTCCCAGGAACCCCTTTAATTGGGTTATACGCAGGGGCGGACCCAAGGTATGTCTTGGGGGGCCTCCGCCCCTGGAGAAAAAGAAAGTTTACCTTTTTTTTATGGGTAAATTACACACACCTCTGAGGTAAGCTTAAATAATTTTAAGGTCCCTATGGTATCGATAATTACACTCATCCCCTGAAACGTAGTTAGAAACTATAACGGGATAATGCATTGGATACATTATTCCGATAGTGTTCTAATGAACTATTATTTTTAGCTAGTGGTGGAGATAACATAGAGTTATGGGGAGTTATGGGTGACATGGCTCCCCCAATATTTCTTAAATCACCCATAACTCTTTCTTGTCTCCACCACTTCCTGAAACCAATAGTCCGTTAGAACTCTATCGTAATAACGTATTCAATGCATATCCCATTAGAGTTTTTAACTACGTTTCAAGGGGGTGAGTGTAATTATCGATACCACAGAGACCTTAAAGTTATTTAAGCATACCTCAAGGGTGTGGGTATAATTTACCCTTTTTTTTATTAGATTTTTAATAGTTTATGTTATTTTTCTATTAATTTATACCATTTAGTCCCCAAAGTTCAAATTTAGTATCATTTTAGTCCAACAAAAAATTCTAGCCCCCCACCCAATACTCCATGGGTCCGCCCCTGATTATACGGGTGTTGAACATGCAAGTTTACCCTTGTACAGTGTTGATAGCACAACCTGACCAACAACAAATTGTGAAAGTATAAAACGTGAAAATACATGAATACACAACACACACACACACAAATTAATAGCATAGAGAGCTAGCTTAGGAACGACGACCCCGAAGAGCTTACTAATTAGAGAGTTTAGACCGAGTATTATCAGTCAGTATATGAATAGATAAGAGAAGTATACTCACATGAAAAATTTATATATATATAATGGAGACTAGATAATATAAGAAGGGCTTATAAGTTGCGAAGTTAATTATATTTTGCTAGACGTTTTCCATTTACGTATTCACGATCACCTCTCTCCCGTTTCTAATTTCTCAATATCTTCCACTTATGAAATCAGACAGATATTTCATCAGTATGACAGATGTTGATTTATATGCCTATAGAAATCAATTAACCTAAGTTGTAACAGTTAAGTTGTGGAAACAGTATTCAGTTACAACTATAATTCTTGTGTTAACACAGTTATAAACTACTTAAAGTAAATAAATGAACACAAGGAATTAATGTGGTTCAGACACAAATGTGCCCTACATCCACGTGGACCTGCAAACACGATTTCACTAGTTCAGATTTACAGTGTACATTAATAGGACTTATTAAAAACACTAAAGACTCCCTCTTTATGTAATATGCCGTTCTTGTACACAACTCGAACTTCGTGTTTCTTCCAACAGCAGCTCCACCCGCGTGCCTTGAACTTTCTTCAAGCCTGAACTCCCTTCAGAAAACGCGGCTGATCTCCCTTGAGATCTATACAGCAAATCTGTATATGTTGGCACAGTGCAACGATGGCACAGTCCTGCTCCGCAGAACGCCTTGGCAAAACTTCGATGCTATGAAGAGGTTTTTCTCCCAAATAATGCCCCCGGTTCTTGTATGTCTTGGAGGCTTATATAGCCACGAAAATAAGCCCTAAGACCTAACTTGAACCCCAAGAAATCTATTTAACTAGGTAATAGAATCCTAGTTGATTTCTACTTCTATTCTAGATAAGTACAAAAGATACCTAACTAGAATAAAATACATGGAAATAAATCTAAGTCCTAATAGAAGTATTATGAGAATAGGACTCTAATAAATTCCAAAATAAATATGGAAAACAAATCTTTGCCAATCTTTTAATTCCAAAACTTGGCGGATTTCCTCGATCTTCAATAGCCGGAAATATGGCGCCAACAATCTCCCCCTTTGGCATAGATTGGTCAGAATCCATATTTAACAAGAACTCCCCCTGCATATGAGATTTTCTCTTTTTGCAGAAATGATTAACTCCCCCTGCATCACATACTGTTAGTACAATAGAAGTTGTTGTAACAGAGAAATTTCCCGCAACACAAAGTTATCCAAAACAAGCCCAAGGCACAAAATAAAGATAACCAAGATGATATCCAAAAAGCAGGAAAGTTTATTATAACAGTCCTAAATAAAACATAAATTTAAGCAATTCAAAAAGGACAAAAAAGTTTTTCAAGGAAACTTCCCTTAATAATCATAGTCGGTGAGAATTGCTAGACGCTTTGCCTTGCGGTTGTGGACTGCTGCTTCATCATTGAAGTTTTTGCTGGGACATCCGGAGTTGTATCTGGAGTTGTTGCTACTCCCCCTTTCTGACCAGACTGTGCCAAAGTCTTAAGAAGCTGGTCCTGAATAGACGAAAACCCTTGAGCAAGCTGAGCCTGGATAGTCTCCTGAAAATGAGTGAGCTCATCTTTGGTGACCACATCAACTGGCGGAATAGAGGCAGAGACAATGGGATCCTTTTTCGCGCGAGAGGCCGTCTGAACAACAGAAGGATCGATAGGAGGCAGATCAGCAGAATGTTCAGAAAGGACCTTACCATGGATAGTGATTGGACGGCCAGGAGGATCCAATAGAGTGGCATCACGAATGGGCAAGCCTTGTTTGATCAAGAGCTGATATATCAAAGAAGGAAACGGCAAATGCTCACGCTCGGTTCAGGAATTGGCTAACACACCAATGTGAAGTTTTGTAAAATCCTCGTTGATACACAAATTTCAGGAGCAACATTAGAGGTCATAGAGGCAGAGTCATTAAGTGAACTCTTGTTCGCCTTGAGAGCAACTTGGACCACAGATAAATAATCTTCTTGAGGATCATCAAAATGCCCAACCAATACCTTAGGATGAATAGTGATTGGTCGTTCAAGCATAGAAGCTGTAGTTCCCACTAAGAAATGTTGTGACAGCGAGTGATAGATCAACGAGGGAAAAGACAAACACTCCAACATTTTGTGCGAGAGTTAGCAAGAGCTCCATTTTGAGCAAAGATGTACTCCCCAATGTTGATAAAAACGGCATGAGTGACGCTTCAGGGAAACCCAACATACAGTGATCACAACGGCTATGGTGTCATTGACACACAGGGCGTAACAGTAATTTGATTCTAACTCCGGTAAAAATCTTTATTCAATTCAGGAGCCACATTGAAAAATTTCCCTTCGCAAGTAACCGCGAGACCCAACAACGGAGAATCAACAGAAAGTTAGGATTCCGTGAAGATTTTGATGACTCAGATCTAGTTGGATGTACGGAAGTAAAGGTAGCATAAGTCTGCTCAGAAAGAGATTGGTGGCTACTCGAAGCGTATGACTCATCCTCAAGACCATAATTGCTCTCAAACTTCCTTTGAGGCCGGCGAAGCTGCGCATGGGTGCTGAAAGTAACTTCTTCAATTGCAACATGGTCTTAATTCACCACCAACATCTTCTGGCTTAGACATGGAATGATCACTTTCAACCATAATATTGTCCAGCGGATCAGAGACAACACCTTATTTGGAGCTTGGGGCTGGTGACTGCACATGTGTATGGGCTCCGGTATTGTTGCCACGAGAGAGATGGGAACTACAGAGACCACTGTTGTCGTCACAGACCTTGACGTTTTTCCAGACTTCTTGTCGGATGGCGATGGACAGTTGTTTGTGCTTCCTCATTTCAGACCCCTCGACTGATTTGTCTCTTTCCATAGTAAATCTGTGGAGCACAGAGAAGAGAAGAGACGAGTAGCTTTTGAAAAACATAGAGAGATATTGGAGAGAGAGGTCGAGTATAAGAAATATTGAGAAATCCTAGAAGCCCAAAAGATAGGATGATAACAGATCCCACAAACATCATGATAAAACAGAAGTATATTCCCACATGCTTCTTTAGAGATTCGGACAGATCACGTATCAAGACAGCCATGTGTCAACAGTCAGCCAGAGGCCACAATAAACTCGGAAACCCTAGAAGGGGCAGATATTTAAAGCACAAAGAACGAGAAAAGAGGCAGAAAAATAGAGGACTCTTCAAATACCGGGTATTTTCAAATCAGAAGAAGATCCCCCAAAATCCGTGACCAATAACAAACAAGATATTCTCCACACGAAACATCAAAAAAATAGAGAAGGCAGATGACATGGCCATAGCCACGTGGCCAGAGACAACTAGTAGCCAAAAAATTCACAAAGCCCACAAAAAAAAAATTTTAAAAATTTTTAAAAGGAAAAAAAAATCACATCTTTTAAGGAAAAGAAAATCAAGAAGATCACAAGATTAAAAGTTGAGGGCTTGGTTTTCATGAATTAATTAGATAATCTTAAAGAAAATCACAATAGAAGGCCACCAAGCAAACTCTTGGATGCACGATATAACTATAACCCCATAACCATACTCAAGAAATCATAATTTAGGTAATTTTTAAGGGTTATGAATGCGTATGCGATTAGCACAGCAATTCGATCGTGGACTTCAAGGAGAATTTCCTAATATATGCTTGAATATCATCCCAACTTTTCTTCTCCCTTTTTTTTTTTTTTTTTTTTTTTTTTTTTTTTGAATTCGGACTATTTTTCTTCTCTCTCTCTTTTTCTTTTCTTTTTTTTTTTTTTTTTTTTTTTTTTAATTCGAACTATTTTTCTTCTCCTCTTTTTTTTTGTTGATATGATGTTCAAGCAAACATTAGGAGGGCAACCTCCTTAAGAATCCACATAGCTTTTAAATAGAAGTCAGAGATGCATATGCGGTAGCATAATTCTCCCAATAGAGGTATGATCTTTGAGATGAATGAAGTCATAGACATTGATCACTCCCGATAGAGGGGGCAGCACACTTCTATCATGGCTAACTGTGGAAACAAAAATTAATTCACAAAAACTAACACACAAACAATTAGTCAAAATGAACCTCCCATCATTCCTATTCCAAAAACAATGATGTCACATTTACGTGACACATATAATGTCCGATTAAAAAAATTCAAGTGCAATCCGGACACAAATATTAATTGCACTATCATAGAAAATTCAGTTTTGCACATGGCAAATTCCAAGCGCTTTACGCAAGGAATCAAACCTAAGGAAGTCGACGGGCTTTGTGAAAATATCAGCTAATTGATTGTCTGTGGACACATAATCTATAGTCACACGTTTCTGCTCAACTAATTGTCTGATGAAATGAAGACGAATATCTATATGTTTTGTCCTAGAATGCTGAGCATGATTTTTTGAAATATTTATGGCACTCTCATTATCACAAAGAACATGCAACTCTTTTTCATAAAAGCCATAGTTATTTAACATATGTTGCATCCAAAAGAGTTGAGTGCAACAGCTACCTACAGCTATGTATTCACACGCAGCATTAGATAAGGAAATGGAATTTTGTTTCTTACTGTACCAAGATACCAAATTGTTACCCATGTAGAAACAACCTCCTGTGATGTTTTTTCTGTCATCCACATTTCCTGTCCAGTCAGCATCACTGTTCCCTGCAAGACAATTGTTAGTATCTTTTGAATACCATTTTCTCAATTCGGGTGTTCCACTAACATATCGGATAATGCGCTTTACAGCACTCAAATGACTCTCTTTAGGGCTTGCTTGGTACCTAGCACAAATACCTACCCTGAAACGAATATCATATCTGTTAGCAGAAAGATAAAACAAACTTCCTATCAAGCTCCTGTATAGTGTGGAATCATCGTCTGTGCCATCACAATCTCGTCCCAACTTCTCAATTGAGGTCATTGGTGTTGTTAAAGGCTTTGCCTTTTGCAACCCAAATTTACTTACCACGTTCTTGGCATATTTGCTCTGTGAGATAAATACCTCATCCTCTAGTTGCTTTACCTTGTCATTGCTCAGAACCAGTTCCCACATGTCATTTCGAGAAAACTGCTCAAGTTCCTCAAGCTTGGCTAACACCCAAAATTCATCAAGAATTGCTTCTTTGATGTTTTTTGGTTCAACAGTGGAAGTGAGATAGACATACCTGACCATTTCCTGGTAGTCAACCTTGGGCTTATTACAAGTTTTCATACCTTCTTTACCAGGGGTAACATCTTCAGTTGTGACATAAGATGTCGGTACTGATACTTCTGTGATTTTGTCTTCTGGTATTTCTCTTCCAATACTCTCAGTTTGTTTCTCCATTAGAAATTTGCCACATAAATCTGGTGTATTGGAGTTTAGTTGGGGAACACCTTTCACACAACCTGCATTAATATTTCGTGTTAGATCCTGAAAATTCAAATTCCCCAGTCGATGACAGCACATATCTGTGATATCAGAGGTGGTGAGGGGACACTGTTCAACTTGGTCAGTTTGATCAATTTTATAACAATTATCAGAGGATCTATAACCAGATAGAACACACCTGTGGTTTCGATCAAACACTTCACACTTACGCTTGGTGAACAACACTGAGTCGTATAGATCACATAGCTGACTTACGCTGAGTAGGTTTGATTTCAAACCCTCTACATACAGAACGTTGTCAAGGTTAGGTAATCCTCAAACATCCAAGTTACCTTCTCCTTTCACAAAGGCCTTGTTTCCATCACCAAGAGTAACTTGTCCACCAGACACATTATGCAGGTTCTTCAAGTAATTAGGTACACCTGTCATATGCTTGGAGCAACCACTATCAAAATACCAAGAGTTCGTAGTACATGCTTTTAAAGAAAGAATAGCAGGAAAGCAGTTTGCATTATACTTATTCATCCATTTATTATCAGAGTATCTTCTTTGGGAATTGTGATCCCATGCAGCGGAATTGGATGATTGATATGCTAAACTCTTATTTATCAATTTCCATCTTTTAAAGCATTTTGGCCTAACATGTCCTACTTTGTGACAGAAATGACAAGTTGGCACAAACTTTTTTGTGTAAGACTGTGAGGCAACATGTTGTGAAGTAGGTTTGACAGTATTATTCACAAAATTAATTTTTCGATTTGGATTAGGTTTACTATCGAACTTACTCCCAATATAGCCAAGACCAAGTTTATCAGGATTTGAGGGATGAGCATTTAAAATTTCATCTAACCTTTTTGAAGGAAGAATCGTAGTGCGATTTAACTTACTGACTGACGCCTCTAACGCTGTTGCGACAGGGGAGTTGTCACACTTCAGGTTGAGGCAGGGTTCAGCAGTTTTCATTGAAGGAGGATTTTTCTTGATCTGCCTTGTCTTATTGCAATCGTTGTTTCGCAAATGTCTCAACAATTCTTTTAGATTGTCAATATCTTTCAAAGCAAAATCATGTTTTACCTCCAGTGCCTCATTTTCCAACTCAAGCTCATCGATTTTGGCCTTCAGGTTGACTTTAACTGCTTCATTCTCCTCTTCCAGTTCCTTTACTTTCTCATTCAAACGCTTGTTTTCATCACTAACCTCATGACATTGCTTTAGAAGATCATTCAGTTGCTGTTGAATCATCTCAATGGAGCATTCTTCATCATCCTCTGAATCTTCTTCTCCTGTGGGCAAAAAAATTGTGTTTAAATTTCTATGATTCACGAGATTACGAGTAGCATACCTGAGGTGTGGTGGTTCAGTGCATGTGACAACATCTTGTGTCACGTCAGTAACCCTGCATGTACCACAGAAGTCAATACTAGTTTCAGCATCACTTGCTTCACTTTCATCATCAGATTCAAAGTTATCGTCACTCCAGGTTGTAGCAAGTGATTTTCCTTGCTTCTTCTGAGTGTTTGCACATTCAGATTGAATATGACCATAGCCACGACATTCTCTACATCGAATCCCCTTCCTAACTTCTCGCTTGTTTGTAGGACTTCTGGGATGTCCATTCATTTTCACGAGTTCTCCGAAGTTTTTGGCTATTAGAGACATGGATTTTGTAAGCTTGACTTCGAGTGCTGTCATGGGAGCTGAGGGCACGGATGGTGTCACAACAGACACAGTTTGTAAAGCGATTTTTCTCTCTTTATCCATTCTACTGATGTTCAGCTTGTTTTCAAAGGTCTGTAGATTTCCGATCAGATCTTCAAGCCGCAATGAGTCCACATCACTTGCTTCCTCTATAGCAGTGACCTTATATGCGAACCGGTCTGGCATAGATCTCAGCACTTTACGAACAAGTTTTACTTCAGGGTAAGTTTCACCGAGGCCATGGGCTTCATTTGCGATGTCGCATAATTTGGAGTTGAAATCGCTCACGGTTTCAGTTTCCTCCATCCGAAGATCCTCAAAACGAGTAGCAAGCATCTGAAGTTTTGATAATCTAACAGAGGTAGTCCCCTCATAGGCTGTTTGAAGTTTTTCCCATGCTTCCTTGGCACACTCACACGCTGAGATGATTTTGAATTGATTGATATCAATTCCATTGAATATGGCATTCAATGCTTTGGAATTCATATTTGCGGCAATCTGTTCAGTTTTGCTCCAGTCTTTTTCATGTTTCTCAGTTTGAATTCCTTTTTCATCTGTGGCAACAGGTCGTTTCCAGCCAGTCAGAACTGTGCGCCATGCATCTTCATCCATTGACTTGATGAACATCTTCATCTTGGTCTTCCAATAAGAGTAATTGGTTCCAGTAAGCAGTGGTGGGCGAGTCGTGGAACCGCCTGCCATATGAGCATTCATAGTACCTATGGAAGAAAATGGCAAATAAATCAAATTCCCAAAATCACACACTATGTTTATCTAGTGAGAGGCTCTTGATGCCAATTGTTGATTTATATGCCTATAGAAATCAATTAACCTAAGTTGTAACAGTTAAGTTGTGGAAACAGTATTCAGTTACAACTATAATTCTTGTGTTAACACAGTTATAAACTACTTAAAGTAAATAAATGAACACAAGGAATTAATGTGGTTCAGACACAAATGTGCCCTACATCCACGTGGACCTGCAAACACGATTTCACTAGTTCAGATTTACAGTGTACATTAATAGGACTTATTAAAAACACTAAAGACTCCCTCTTTATGTAATATGCCGTTCTTGTACACAACTCGAACTTCGTGTTTCTTCCAACAGCAGCTCCACCCGTGTGCCTTGAACTTTCTTCAAGCCTGAACTCCCTTCAGAAAACGCGGCTGATCTCCCTTGAGATCTATACAGCAAATCTGTATATGTTGGCACAGTGCAACGATGGCACAGTCCTGCTCCGCAGAACGCCTTGGCAAAACTTCGATGCTATGAAGAGGTTTTTCTCCCAAATAATGCCCCCGGTTCTTGTATGTCTTGGAGGCTTATATAGCCACGAAAATAAGCCCTAAGACCTAACTTGAACCCCAAGAAATCTATTTAACTAGGTAATAGAATCCTAGTTGATTTCTACTTCTATTCTAGATAAGTACAAAAGATACCTAACTAGAATAAAATACATGGAAATAAATCTAAGTCCTAATAGAAGTATTATGAGAATAGGACTCTAATAAATTCCAAAATAAATATGGAAAACAAATCTTTGCCAATCTTTTAATTCCAAAACTTGGCGGATTTCCTCGATCTTCAATAGCCGGAAATATGGCGCCAACAACAGATATTTCAGCATGCAGAAACATGCATCATTTGGGCCCACAAAACAAGAGAACATTTAAACAGAGAAGCGGGACCACAACTTTCAGATTGTGGCCATAAAGCAAACATTGTGTGTAATTTGTAGGCCCATTCAAAATTATCAATTCAAGGTGTTGAATTTGAATGCCTATCAAAGTCCACTCATCTGTTGAGACAGACTACATGTTACGACATTAGGTGACGTAACAGAATTGTTGTGTTGTCACAGTAATAAATCTACGAAAAGCAGAATAAAGAACACAACAATTTAATGTGGTTCGGATACAAATGTACCCTACATCCACGAGGACTTGCAAAACTAGTTCAGATTTAAGTGTACATTAATAGGACTTAATAAAACACTAAAGACTCCCTCTTTATGTGATACGCCGTTCTTGCACACGACTCGAACTTGTTGATAATCAAAGCAATTCCTCCTCCGCACTCTTGGACTTCCTCCAATGTTGAACTTCCTTCAAACGGCGGATCGACCTCTCCCGAGATCTTTTAAGCACTTCTCCCGAAACGCCGATCTTCTTTATGGCCTGGTAGAAGAAACCTGTTCTGTTGCCACACCTGCCGTGCAGACAGGGCTGCAGCACGGGCTGCACCCTTCAAAGCCTTTATGCTGGGATTTTTCTTATTAAAGCTCCATCGGACTCATATGAGGTTGAGGGCCTTATATAGGCACGAAATCCACCACCCTAAACCTAACTTGAGCCCTAAGAAATCGATTAACTAGGTAATAGAATCCTAGTCGATTTCTACTTCTATTCTAGATAAGTACAAAAGATACCTAACTAGAATATAATACATGGAAATAAATCTAAGTCCTAATAAAAATATTACAAGAATAGGACTCTAATTAATTCCAAAATAAACATGGAAAACAAATCTTTGCCAATCTTTAATTTCCACGTATGGCGGATTTCTTCAATCTTCACAAATAGAAATCTCGTGCCAACAATCTCCCCCTTTGGCATAGATTGTTCCTCTCAAAAATATATAATTCCAATTTTCAATTTAATTTAATTTCAAAAAAAAAAAAATCAAAAATCACACTTAAGATTTCAATCTTCGCCGGATTATTATTCCATTAAAAAAAAAAACCGACGACCCCGGAACGAGTTACTCTAATTCCAAACCCAAAACATCTATTTTTCCTAATTTTTCTTTAGAACGGAGTAGAAATTTAGTTTCTAATTTTTCCTAATTTCGATCTAATTCGTCCGATCTGAAATGAATTCGATCACAAACTTGTCATTCTCACATCCCATGCGTGATGCCTAAGTTTTTTTTTTTTTTTTTTGGGTGTATATAATTTGTTCACTTTTGTATGTCTCTCTCGTGCTTCTTGGTAGTGATCAAATGGCACCATTTTCACGCCAACACTATGAATAAAGTATTTGCTAAAGTTACCCACTTTATATCATGACAGACACCACCACTATATACACCACCGCCGTTTATCATTGCAATTTTTTTTTTTCAACTTAATTGAAATTCACAAAATTCAACTTAAAGTCACCCTATTACTAATTTATCTAGCACTTAATTAAACTAGCTAGGTAGTGCAAACTTGACGAGTGAATTCCTTGCCAAATCTCAAATATAGTGACTTAAAAAGTTGGTTTATATAAAATAGGGTAATTTACGAAAAATCTCATGAATTTAGGCTGAATAACGAAAAGCACCGGGCTCCATCTATTCGTAATTATCAAAATCCCTCTTTGACTAACTGTTGATCGAGTTTTTTTTTAACATGGAATGTGTACAGTCTATTATACCTTCTGTTAAATATGTGGAAATAAAAGAAAATGTCTGAAATTGTGTAAAGTTTATCCTTTGAAATAAAAAAGACTCCGTAAAAATTCACACTGTAGGATATAGGTGTAAGACGGAAACAAACATCAAGGGGTTTTCGTAATTTAACCTAAGTTATGTGTTCTTTTCGTAATTGATCCTATAAATTAATCATTTGATCAATTTGAGTTGCAACATCTACAAATTTGATATAATATTGTGTTAGTACAATATAATATATTTTGACATCCATTCTATAGTTTAGATGTACTAGAGTATTTATAAACTTACAATGGGGTTTGATGCGATGCAAATTAAAGTAAACATGTCACATGTACAATCAAATCAAATTAGATTAAATTAAACTATCGATTAATTAACAAAGACTATTATTAAATAATAACAACCACATAAGATCAAAAAAAAAAAAAAAAAGGTAAGTTACATCAAACCAAAAGGAGGCATGCGTGATAATGTTTTTTTTTTAAATAAATTATTAATTATTTAATTATTTTAAATTTAAATCTACGCTTCATCTTCTTCAAGAGAAAGTTGCTTCAACCATTCAAACGTTCGATGATGGGACAAGCGCTTTTTCGCCACGTGTTCGTCGGTCGTCATCGTCGAATCTTCTGCATTATTACTCTTCCGTCGTTGGAGATCAAGTAGCGCTTTTGCCACGTCACCCTCACTCGCGCACCTCTTGTAAAACACGACTCTTGGAGCAACTGTATCAACCGTATCGGACGAACATGACCTACAACCGCCGGCGCCGCCGAGCAAATTAACCCTAGCTTTCTTCTTCTTCTTCGCGTTGCTATTACTACCGCTGCTGATGGAGCTGCTGTTGCTGTTACGGCTACCGAAGTTGTTATTCCTGCTGGGGCACCGTGATTTTAGATCCGGCGGGGCGGCGACTAACCCTAGCCGGAAAATATTCCACGGCGGTGACGATTTCGCGGCGGCGTAATTTCTGCCGGCGGCGATTTTTGTCCTCTGGTTCGGAAAATGCAATCTGGGCGACGGGCTAGGGTGAGAATATTGGAACTGGTTGCGCGGCGGCGGTAGCTTGGGCCGCCTCACGGCGGCGGGGATAGAGCATCCGGCGGCGCTGCTGCTGGATGATGACGTCATGGAGTGGTGGCTGTTGATGCTGCTGCTTCTGCTGGAAATGAACCCGCCCGAATAGTAACGATCCATTGACCCGGACCGGAGCAAACCCGTATCGGAACTACTGACGGAGTGGCGGAAGGGCAGAATCCGGCCCTTGAAGAAGAGTTCGTCGGCGGCGCACATTTCGGATTCTTTTGACGCGGAGCAGAAATCGAAATCATCTTTAACTTCCATTACCGGAGATCTAATACTTTCTTCTTCTTCGATATTTATCTGATCTTTCCGCCATTGATGAAAAAGTGGGAGATCACTCAACGAGAGAGCTTCTTCTTCTTCTTCTTCTTCTTCTTCATCTTGTTCTTCAGCTCGTAATTCAACTGCAGTAATATTGCTACATTTTTCTTCCATGATTTAAAAATTAATTACAGTTATATCTGAAGAAGAAAGATGTGTGGCCTTTATATATATATATAAGTATAAAATATAATATACGTGAACGAACGGTAATAAGATTTACATGGGAATTTAAAGAAGAATGAGAGAGACAAGTGGAACATAGATATCTGATAAAAGAATAAAGCAAAAGTAAATAATTAATAATTAATAATTAATAAATAAATAGTGGAAGTGAATGCAGGCGACCCAAAACTTTTGTGGTAAAATACAGTTTTCATCCCATCTTTGCACTTATTCCACTTGTAGTCCTCCATATTTACAAAAATTATATTTGGTCCTAAATATTTTAAAAAATCAATATTTTTAGTCATTTTTGTAAATTTTCCGTCAGTACTAAGTGCATGCCCATCATTGATTTAACTGACGAACTAACGGTAAATCGACAGAAATAACAAAAAATATTAAAATATGAGGGATTAAATGTATTTTTTGTGAATATGGAGGACCAAATATAAAATAAGTGTAAACTTAAGAGATAAAAACTATAATTTCTCCAAACTTTTGTGCTTTTCTTGTTTGGGAGAAATATATCGGATACTTAAGCCGGCCCGGGCCTGGGCCCTTAGTTTGTTTAACTGCAGCGTGACTGCCTTTACTCTTCAAATGATTGTTTTTTTAATTTTCGGAGAAAATAATATTAAATTATTAACAAATCTTTGTCTATGAAAGTGGGACGGTAGTAGTAATTTTTAGATTCTGAATACAGAGGATTTAAATAATAATAAAAATATGGGTAAATTTTATTTTGCACCCCTGTACTATGTAAAATGTATCATTTACCCCTCTAATGTATAGAAAACATCAAACACCCCCCTATTTTTAACGGTCAATGGTCAAATTTTTAACGGTGTTAAATTTTGAGTGTGTAATGACTCTTTTGCTCTGTTTTTATGTTTGATATAATTCCTAATTTTTTTTAGGCATATATTTTTGTGGATTGTTGACGATTTCTAGTGTTCGTTCAAATTAGGGCTTTTTGTCGATTTTAGAATTTGATTTTATTTTTGGTTTTCTTTTTCGAGGATTTTTCCATTATAATATGAAAATCTTTGTTTTTAATTTGCAATTCTTTCATATGGTTTTATTCCAATTTTAGGGTTTATTTTAGATTTCAGGGCTTTTAGTTTTCCTTTTTGTGGGTTTACATTCATAATCTGCAAAGCTTCATTCTATTTATTCGACTATTCAGCTTTTTTATAAGAAAAATGGCTGAAAATGTTAAGTAAATGATTGAATAAAGTAAAAAAAAAAAGGCTGAAAAAGGTGAAAAATCCGGTGAACATTTGTCAAAAAACGAAGCATCCTATATATATATATAAATTTTTTGGGTATTTTCATTAATAAGAAAAAGGCAACATTTCTTTGCAATAGTCGGTCAAAGGGTTTGACTAACGGAATTAGAAAAAAAACTAACGGCATGGGGGGTGTTTGATGTTTTCTATACTTCAGGGGGTAAATGATACATTTTGCATAGTACAGGGGTGCAAAATGAATTTTACCCTAAAAAGATTAAAACAAAAATATAGCTTTTTTTAGTGTGGGGGTGAGACTGTCAATTTGTAAGGATTAAAAGGATTAGATGAAACATAAATTTGCAGATTGGTAAAGGAATGTTGGACGACATTTATTATTGTCTTTTAGGACAGATGGTGACGATTGATTGGCAGGTGCCACAAAAAAGGTTTAATTTGAAGACAAGAGTCGGTGGTAGTAATTTGGGTAAATTACAACCACGTGAAAAAAACCTTCCCTTAAGATAATGACATTTACCCTTAACTATATTTTTTTCTTATAGCTCCACCCTTATACTGTCAAATTCAACATAATCATCTTGATTCTGTGTAATACGCTCTAGTTTGTACTTGTTTTATGTAAAAATACAATTTATGATGCACCACAATCTGATATATGCAATTCAAAAAACACATATTATGATCATCTTGCTTCAAAATGTATAGTCCGAATGGATAAAACGGGTACAAAAGTGATAATATTCCATATAATCTCGAAGATTCCACTAAATTTGAAACCGCAAAAGTGGACGTGTGAGAAGATTTATAATTGAGGTGTGATTGTAATTATATTACCCAAACATGAAGGTGGTTTTCGTAATTTGACCATACCTCAGGGGCGTTGTAATATACCCTATTAATTTTAATAGGTAATATGCATGACACCCATCAAACCAAACATAATTAGATGTATGGGACAAATTCAATTAGATTTTTTACACATCCTTTTAATTTTTTTTAAACCCAAAACTACCCTTAATATAATAAATAAAAAATATATTACTTTTATTCTATTATTTTTCTCTTTCTCTTCCTCTCTCTATTCTTCCGCCGCCCACCCTACTCCTCTTCTCTCTCTTTCTCTATTTCCACGCCCCAAGCCCAACTCCTCATCATCCTCCTCTCTCTCTCTCTCTCTCTCTCTCTCTCTCTCTCTCTCTCTCTCTCTCTCTCTCTCTCTCTCTCTCTCTCTCTCTCTCTCTCTCTCTCTCTCTCTCTCTCTCCACCCCAATCTATCTCATTCACTCTTTTCTTTCTTTTGCTTTCTTTTTCTTTCTTTTTAATTATTAGATCTGAGGTTTTAAAAATCTACAGCGGAACAATAGATCTGCAACGGACGACGGTGGCCAATTCAGACGCCCTTGTGCGGCGGGCCGATGTCCCTGACTCACCTTGGCGGGGAAGTGGCGATTGCATCACGGAAGGGTTGGCGAGATGTGTGCCTGCAAATGTATTTTCGTTGTTTTTTTACCGGTGGCTAGGGCTGGTTATGATGAATTCATGGTATGTGTGCGTTTAGTTGCGTATACGGCGACGACGACTCGACGGCGGCTGGTATACGTTTGCTAGCGGTGCTAGGGTTCTAAATTGCAAAAGTAAGGTTTTGAAAATGACTCTAGTTGTCTACGAGTGTCTAACTGCACTTGTGAATCGAAAAATCGTGTGTTATTGAAAGCTTTCTTTTTTATGTTAAAAAAAAAAAAAACATTTTTTGGCTAATTGTATCGGATTATCTTTTAAGAAATTTTACTTAGTTTGACCGCTAGAGTTTGGCGACAGCTACTTTTGGTTGCTAGGGTTGATGACGGCTGGGAGTTATTGGCTAGAGTTTGATAGTGCTTCATATTAAAACATAGTATACCATAGTATACAATAGTACTATACTATAATATATCGTGGTATACTATACTCTACTACATAAAAATATGTATATTGTATTAAACAATGAAAAAAAATAGCATAATTTTGTTTTTGTAATAATATTATGTAGAAAAAAAAGGAAAAAATAAGTTTATTTTATAATATTGTATAAATGCTAAAATGAAGAAAGAAAAGAAAACGACAAAAATATTTTCTGTAAACAAAATTAAAAAATATTAAACGTAAAAATGAAACTATTAAATATAGAACAAATAAAATATTAAATGTAAATTTTGAATTTATGAGTGGAATGACATTTTTGTGCTGAATTTTATAAAGGATGTGAAGCAAATGTTTAATTGGACTTGTCATTTAGTTCTAATAAGTTTTGTCACCAGGGACCTATATCTTAAGGTGGTGTTTGCAAATGCTTTTTGAAAGTGATTATGCGGTTTTTTTTGCTCATAATCTATTTTTAGGTGTTTGCAAAATCAACTTTTGCTTTTGCTTCTCTTAAAATAATCTGCTTTAAGCTATTTTTTTAAAAGCACCCATAACCCTGCTTTTTCAATTTTAGTTCATTTTCCGAAATATTTGCAAACACCCCCAACTTTTAGAAATAAACACTTAAAACTAACTTAAATCACAATCTCTAACTTCTGTTTTTAAATCTCTAACTTCTGTTTTTAAATAATCATTTGCAAACACCTAAGGCCCCTAATTTTAATTGGAACTTGTATTCTTCTTCTTCTTATTTTTTTTTTATTTTAATTATTTGTGAAAGAAAATGTGACACATCGTTTGCTTATTTGACAGGTTAAGAATGGCTACCTTTATTGCACACCAACCATGCAAGCAACTTCCAATTCGAATTTGAAAAAGTTGTGTATCAATGTTTCTTTCCAAGTAAGATGGGTCGACGTATGTGTATTAGGTAAATTTTGCTCTCGTACAGTAGTATTATGAGATACACAACATATTTTGTTAGATTTAGATGTGTGATAACATCGATTAATCATTGTGTGACGGTTGAATCGTATCCAATATAATAAGATTGAGGACGGTTTAGTCATCGTGAATACATTATTGAAAAGCTAACTTAGAGGAAGGTCTGCAACATAAATAAAATTTTAGTAAGGGTAAAAATATCATTAAATATTGAGTTTGTGTGAATTTTCAAATAAATGGAGGTTTGTATTATTTTCAAATTTGGTCGGTGTAACAGTAATATCAGTTAACTAGTTAACTTCAAGAAGGTATGTATCCAAATTAGGTTAGATAACGAAGACATGTTTCTGTCTCTTTCGGATCGTCTAAATTTACGGGTAGTTTGCTAAACACTCTATAATACTCTTTCAAACCATGGTAATTATATCTTCGTGTTTTGCCGAAAGTTCATCGGGCAACTTAGTTAAAGAGTTTGGACAGAAAAAAGTCATGTTAGACTGGGTATACGTTACTATCATATAAATCGGGTGTCTTTAACGGTGAGAGTGTTGATTTATCCAGTGCACCTAAAAGTTTGGCTGCATATTCATTTATTACCGAATTTTTTTTGACATAATAATATTATGGGTAAATTACACACACCCCCCTGAGGTAAGCTTAAATAACTGTAAGGTCCCTGTGGTATCGATAATTACACTTAGCCCCCTGAAACGTAGTCAGAAACTCTAATGGGATAATGAATTGGATACATTATTCCGATAGGGTTCTAACGGACTATTGGTTTCAGAAAGTGGTGAAGACAACAAAGAGCTATGGGGTGACATGGCTCCCCGAACATTCCCGAACATTCTA